GATTGCCGAGTAGGAAGAGTCTACTGCGATACTAATGAGTGTTTCCGTATCCTAGTGTGCAAGCACTGTTACTTTGGCGATAATTCTCCTAATTGTGGAGAATGCTTCCCTCGCGATGTCCTCCAAGTTGATGGGTTTCGCATTTCCACGAAGTCGGTCGGTTAAGAGTCTCATAAGAAACGCGCAATTCTATATGAACCATCGATAAAAGCGTACAAAGCCGATGAACATACGCAATTGCTTGACTTATCGGTTTTGAGCGACTCAAATAGCTGCCACTTTGCTTTTCAGAGGTTGAATAAATTGAGCATCAACAATGTGACCGAGAAAATCCAGGAAGTCGGTTCTAATTTGACATTTTGGGATGCTTACTGTAGTGCCGTATTTTCGTACACTTTTCAGAACAAGGTCCAGATGCTGGAGATGAGATTACCTCTCCATACTTGCGGTCAAGTAGTCATCTACATACGCGTGCAAGACGTTGAGACCTTTAAGTTCATGCAGCACTCCTTAAGCATAAAGGTATTCTCAAAAATTCGTAGAGATAATGATAGAGACTTTAGGAATGTCGTCAGCATTTATAGGCATTTGGTATTGGGCTTTGGCGAAGTCGATTTTCGAAATGACAGTTGTACCTTTCAAGGCAGTTGTCAAATCATCAACATGGGGCGACATGTAACGATTAGGAATAGTTTTCGCATTCAATCACCAGTTGGACGCCAGTCGTCACTTTCCTTTTTAGGGACCATATGCAAGGGAGATGCCCATGGGCTGTTTGATGTCCGAATGATTCCTAAATCTACCATGTAGTCGAACTCGTTTTTAGCCAACCTTGGCTTTTTGGAAGCTAGTCGGCACGCTTTCGAGAATACAGGAGGTCTTGTAGCTGTTGTGAGATGTGGCCTGCTTGAGCATCTGGGCTACCTGTTCCTGCCATCTAGATATTTCAACAAGTTATCTATCTTTGTTTGTTTTAATATATCATTATGTCTATTAATCGCACAACCTATACTGCTGCGTTTCTGAAGAAGAAAGAAACGGAAACTTGTTGAAATACTTTGTGCTGAGAATTCTATATTGTACCAATAATATAATATTGAATAAAGCTATTAATAATAATAATAATAACATCGGTGGTTACGAATGGTCATTTAGGTCGCGTTTGGTATATATCGGGGTACCTATCGAGTATTTGTTGATAGTATGGATCGATCACGTGCTTTACTGTGACTGGCGATAATCTGCGACCGAAAAAAGGAGTTACGCGAACAGATAATTTAGTATTTGCATCTACTAACCTCCGTTTGCACATGTCGATTAGTAGATTATGGTGTTATAGCAGGTCTATACCAATGATTGATACAGAAACATCTGCGACAACAAAAATTCATCGAAGGTGTTTACGTAAGCCCACGTTAAGACAAACATATTACTTACCGTATGTGGCGATCTTTTTGCCATTTTCCGCCGGTAAGTCAAAAACTGGTTCGTACAGTCAGTTGTTGGAATTTGTTGGAAGAACGAGGTAGAGAACTTTTGTAATCATACCAGTGTCGTATAACAGAGGGCTATGTTTGCTGACTTTGGTTGGCGTTGACGCATTCAGGGGAGGGGTTTTTGAGTTGTTTTTCGTACTGGACGGTTCGGACTTTGGGAGACTACAGTGTTTTCTGCAATCTGGAGAATATTTACCATACTTATAAGGGTGCCAGCACCAATCAAGGTTATCTGTCTTTCGTGATCTATAAATAGATCGTTGTCGTGAAGAATTTCTTCGAGGAGTATGAGAGCGTCTACGGTCATGACGAATATCAATGTAACGTGTCAAAGTATGACATAGGTTCGGGACATAATTTCGTATTGTTCGAGGCTTTTCTTTGACTACACAGACCTCGACTGTAGGAGTTCTGGTGATCTCCAGAATTCAGTCGGCAGATGTAATACGTTCGTCTAAAGTAGTGCTTTGAAATCAGACAAGAAATGTCTGTATCTTTTGAGGAAGTTTAGACAAGAAAGTTGTCTAAATAGGCCCTCATTGGGTCAAAATGGCAATAGCCGAAATAAGGGAGGCGAAAGTCTTGATCTTGAGTAGCCTGGGTGTTATAACCCGGTGAAGATTAAATTACAGGTAACTCCCGAGGACTATTAATGGACTAATATTCTAGTGCTTCCAGGTTTTCCATGGTGGTCTAGCTTCAACTGACTCATGATCTTAACCATTGAAATTACTACAATCTCCACAAAAACCCATCTTCTATAATTTATTATTGTACGATTTACGATTCTTGAGCTATGCTCAGTCTATTAATTACTGTCCCCCTCATTCACAGCCACTTTTTGGCTTATTTGTGTACACATTTTATTTCCTATTTTATAGTACGTTGTGGTCTGTCTGATTGATATATAAACCGGGTATGTCTGAAATAAATGATCTGCTCTGATTCGATTCATATTACGGAAGCCGGTATTGTGTTCTGGACTCAAGTGGAAGGGCTCAAAGGACATAGGACCAATAAGGACGCTAAACTGCCCACACCGGTTGAACGTCATGGGTTGGCCTAGTGTGAAGATTCGTATAAGTCGTATTCGGATTGGTAGATAAGTCGCGTGATAGAAAAGTCAGACATTCAAGGTCATAACACTGTGAGTCTATTCCACCAATGAACGAAAAAAATCCGAAAATATGGGAACGATATCACAATATGTAAAATCTAAAAATTAAGAAATAATACACATAATGTCCAAACAAGGAACAGAATCACAGTTTACGAATTGGTTTACTGAACCACGTCGAGCACACTATTAGAAATGCCACAGGTATCCGTAGTTTGACAGCACTTTAACCAGTAATCGATTATGCCAACCCAGCCAAAACATCGGGGACTTACAGAGTTGTTGATTTCGGGGATTTATTTACCGCTACAAGAGATTTGGTACACATATAAACTAGCTTGAGTATTGATGCGCCTCAAGGGAACCTAAACAGAATTTTTGATTTATTTACTGAAAACTCTTCTGACAGAGTGCTTAGTGAAATGTTCTAATGTTGAATAATAGTGATACACCAAACATATACTTCCTGAGTGATTCTAGTATCATGCGTTTCATCATAGGACATAGCTTTGCTTTTACTCTATAAGATACGCTAAGTGAATCTTCCGACCAGTATTCTAAGAAGTAAAAAGGGAGTGAGTTTCTCCTCATAGAGCTTAGTAATCTAGTTGTCAGCTTATCCAAGAATACCTTCAATGTGTGCTCGGGACTGTACTCATCAAAATTTCTGTCATTATTTTCGATTGAATCAAGAATGATACAATCTTCCACAAAACAGTTCACAGAGGAGTAACCAATCAGGCTTAGGAACAAACCCAATTTAATCCTCATAAAAAAGGATTTACAACCCATCCAGTAAAGCAGTACACAGGTGTATTAGTGTGGTACAATACTGACCTAAGTCCTCCAAATTCTGACGGATCGCTTCTGCATTTCAGCTCGGAGGTATGCAAGTGTCAGATTATACGTTGTTATATGATTGACTGAATAGCACTTTAATGCGAACAGTATCTAAAGTGACACCAGTTAGGTGTAAATCATGAAACAGAACACAAAGATATTTCACAAGTTTATAGTGATGATGCACAGAGAATGACAGAATTCAGTTCGTCCTTACCACACACAGTGCGACTTTAGAAGTTGAATCTATTAACTCTGACCTACCGCAGATTGAGGTGGGATAATTTGGAACCTCCTTTTCTTACGACCAGACCAGGACAACTGAGAGGACATTGCAGTTGAGTATAAAAACTAAGAACGAACAAAATACTGTGGTATACCGGTTTTCGCACTGAGCCATTTACTCTTGGAACCTGTTACACAAAGAAGTGATGTCTGCTCCTTTAATTGACTGATTCAAGAGAAGACTATATACTCTCAGAAAGTTACTGGATAGTGACTAACATAGTTCATAGTCTCCCCGTCTTTAATTCACCTATCTGAATTTGGATTTCTTAGAAGGTTATAGTGTGTTCTGATCTTTTCATAGCGTGTGCTGAGGCAGGTTATTGAAAATGTCTTTCTGTAATTAACTCCTACTAAAACTAGTGAAATACCTGCTTTCCTAGGTTCTAGGATGTTTTTCTGTGTGGATGGACCATTTCTTGACAAACTAAATCCATGAAAACCATTATGCAATCCTTATGAAGAGTGCCTCTAATCACTTAACCTTGACCTATTAGAGTTTAGGCATCTTGGAGGTGACCAAATGGCTTACAGAATCCTTGACAATTCTGTACATCCCGTTAGAAACTTAATAATACTTAGTCCCAACACCGACTACAGGGGTAACACCCCGAAACTAGAGGCATAATAGAGCAAAACGGATTGTCTATGGACGTTTTACCCCTTAAGAGCTGTCAAATGCTGGAATTCCCTGCCAGATGAGCCAGTCCAAGCGACTTCCTAGGAGTCCATTTAGAGAAAACTTGACATATTCTTAAGGAATAATTTACGATTTTTCGTTTTACCGTTTAATATGCCTAGGTTTCTACGCGGCTGCATCGGTAATTCACTGCTACTAGACACGGAAGCCCGTTAAGCGAATGCTTCTATTTTGAACCATTTGAAGTAGGACAGGTAGTTACTTCAGGGTTGGGAAACGGTGTTGAAACAAGGATTTATTTAACTCATTTGGTCTGACTGCAAATATTGCGAGGCATATAATGTACCCATTATTTGTTTTATAACTGCTTTCTTATTATAGACCATTAAAAACGTTAGTTTGTAGGATCCTAATGATGGGATGCATCGGGTAGACACACCTATATTGATCGACCATTAATTAAGTTATGTACTAATAAAAACATAAGCCTACTTAAAAACTAAGAAAAACGGTGGAAACTACTGCATTTCCAAAGATATTTGATTTTTGACTGCCTTTGTTTTAATAATCTGGAGGCCATGTGCATATCCTGTTCAGTGGTTATCCATCAAGTCCATCTGCAATGGCGACCCAACCTAAAGTACCCCGACCCAGTAATGATACTGGTGCTGATGGAGAACTAAGTAAGTCTAATTACTACAGGTTTACTTTCCTACAAAAATTTTGGACTGGTGTTATGTCTATAGGATTATCTCGCTACTGATATTTTTGTTTCAGGTTCGACCAATACTCTCATCGATGAAATTGAGGAAGTTCAAAATGCCATTGACAATCTCAATGAGCAAGCCAGTGAAGAGATCCTAAAAGTTGAACAAAAGTTCAATAAGATGAGACAACCTCACTTTGAGAAACGGTGTGAGCTAATTTCCAAGATCCCCAACTTCTGGCTCACTACATTTATTAATCACCCCCAGTTGTCAGACTTGCTTACGAGCAATGACGAGAGTGTATTAAAGCATTTGAAAAAGGTGGAAGTTCAGGAGTTTGAGGACATCAAGTCCGGTTTTCGAATTAACTTTGTAGGTTCTATTACAATATCTAATAAGTCCTATTTTAGCACTTTGAGAAGAATGAGTGGTTCAAGAACAGTGTGTTGACGAAAGAATTCCACTTAGGAGATAGTGGCGAACCATCTTCCACATACACCAAGATAGACTGGTATCCAGGCAAAGATCTGACAAGCAATTCATCTAATTCAAAGAAGAACGGTGGCGATCAAGCTAAGAAACGGACGTTCGAGGATCAGACACAAGATAGTTTCTTCTGCTGGTTTACAGATGAATCCTCAGTATTTGGTGACGAGCTGGGTGAAGTGATAAAGGATGACATCTGGCCAAATCCACTCCAATATTACCTCTCACCAGATTTAGACGAAGAAAATGGTAAGTGATGTTCCTTCAGATAGTCATGACGTCTCATCCCTACTGTAACTAATACTCGTGGTTTGATTTTGTTTAAGAAAACGATGAAGAGGATGAAGATGACGATGATGATCAGGATCTCGACGAGGATGAAACTGGTGTAGCGGATGTTTAAAGATCATTGCAATATATCATTTCCATTTAATCTTCAATCTTTGTTTCCCAAACGTGTATGTCTTCGCATCTGCATGGAACAATATTGAGACATTTGATTTGTTGTACAATGGCAAAAACAAACTGTTTCCACACTTGTACATCGCGCCCCGGTTTTATGTTCCACTATTGAATACGCCTTTGTGTCATTTTGCATTTAATTGTAGCTATCGTCATACCGAGGCATATTCATGTGTCATGTGTTGGCTTTAACTTGACTGTTTTTATCCAGGGATCAGCGTTTTTGCCGTTGTTTCTGTTCCAGCCGCTATGCGTCTTAAGATTTTTGTATCAACACTTTTCGAGACGTGAGGTCATATCTCAAAATTTGTTTCTAATAAACAGTTATGAAGGATAGTTCTTATTCTAAATGACGCACCGTTAGTATTTCCGCGTCTCTTCGTGGTGTATAGAGTATCGCGTTGATTAGCCTGGCAAATTATTTTGGGGTACTAGCGACATTAGTTTGGGTAGTTATACGCTAAGACACGTTTGGAGACAGGCTCGTATATTGCGCTCCATGCTTTCTCTTGGTCTGGGTTCTCGACTACTCAGTTCTAAAGTTTGTCCTCCTGGATCTCACATGGCTTGTCCGGTCGTGGTTCTGCTGAGGTTAGTTGACGCTCCCCGTGCCTTTCGCGTTGTGCGGTGCATTGGCTCGGTAAGGTTTGTTCGCGTTCAGTGTCGTTTGCGGTATATGTATTTGAAAGTCGCCTGGTTCTAGTCGATGGTCGCTCTACTGTCAAAAAGGCCGGGTGGTACCTGCCAATTTGCGTCTCCGGCGTCGTGGTTGATTTGTGTTGAGGATTGGTGAATTCCTAAGCTTGGAGACCAACCAAGCTGCCGAGCGACCAAGAGGATTGTTCACGGTCTTCATCGCAGTGGGGTTAGACAGTGGCGTGGTACCACTTTCTGGGTTCATGATGTGCTGATGGCGACGTGTGTGAGCTACCATCGTTAAGTTTATTGGGTTTGTGCAGTATGTTTATATTTCAAAAGCAAAAGTGATCTCTGCTGGCGTTAACGCTGTGGTCCTTCGCTAGCGAATAAGGACTCGCGTTTTTTATGTTCGGCAGGGTTTTGACTAAAGGTATCAATCCTTACGTTTAATACCCTGTGGTTTCCTAGTTGCCAATGTGTGCGCTCGCGTGGGTGGGTGGGATATAAATTGACCTACTCCATAACTAGACGTTAAGGTAACGGGTCGAACGCCGTCAAGCATATGTTCAAATTTCAGCTCTAAAGTATTGTATTAGGTTTCACCTGGGGTAGTTCACTTAAGTTTGTTGGTCTGGTCACTTGACGAAGGGCTGACCTGGCGGGTGCGTACGGGATGCTCCCCAGTCCTACAATTCAACCTTTATTAAACCACCTGACCTGGGTGACCGCAATTATAACAGTTGCTGGAATCTCGGCCTCACCGATAGTTCGGTTTTGATCGTATGGCCGTCCAGCTCCACCAGGCAGCGTATTAGTGTATCATGTGGTTGTCATATAAGTAAGTCCTTATACCATTTCTATAGCATCGGAAGGTTGACCCATCCTCACCGTCCAGTAGCTGTTGACCATAGGTGACGTGAACCTGTTGGGCATAGATCCAGGAGTCACTGAAAACCTAGGTCGCATTTAATGGAGCACATCTAGCTGCAGGTTTGGTGGCTCACAGTGGTCCCAAATACCACCTAATCCAACTTTTTTACCTGTAAGGTAAATCGATATTCACATCATAATTGTAATTTCTTATTGAGGTTTTTATTTCGTTGTACGGAACAAACATTTGTTGGGGAAAGCAGCCTATTTTCTTATTGTCATAGCTTGCACGAATAGGTCAGTGTTGTGTCTAAAATACTGTACTTCGCACCTTTAGTTCGTTCTTAAGGAGTGTAACGGATCAGTTTGTTGATGCCGATTTCGGGATGTGCTGAGGCAAAACTCAAATACTTCGTAACTTTGGTTTGACTATTGTCTCCATAACCTTCAGATTAAGATGATTGTGTAGACTATACGGATTATCGGGTGTTTGTTGCTCTCTTCAAATGCTTCGATCCAGTGCTGTCGTATTGTTTGGAACGTTAGCTAACAGGAGGATGATTGCGATTACGAATATTGATCGAACAAATTGTTAGGTTTACGATCCTTTGCAATGACATTGTGAAAAGAATCCGAATTAGATAAAACAAAATGATGTAGACTGTAGAATATATCTAACTGACTAGTCCCAATTATGATCTCGCTACTAGTCGCATGTATTGAGTGCGAAGTCGGACTTAAATTGTTTTTATTTATCTGACAGTTCAACTGTACTGACATTAAATCCTAATGTAGATTAAGTCCATTGTAAGGAACGATAAGTTAGCAGTGTTTCAAGATATAAAGTTATGTAGTACATATGTTCTGTCCCAAGATGTCTAATTGTTAATAAATTATTTTTGCATGCTTCGGAAACATTTATGTTCCAGGTCGTGCATCTAGTTGATGAACGGTAGGTTTTTCTACAAATGTATTGTTTGAAAATACGGGCTGTTTTATTCATTCCTAGCAGTTGTATAATGACTTGTTATTTTTAACGTCTAATACTGCAGTTAACGATTGTTGCTCACGTTTTTATTTGAATAGTCTCGTGAGGTAAGATACGGTCACTGCAGAATGACGTATATTATTGTTGGCTTTAATCGTATTTTCTGTTATGGTCCCAACTGTGAGTCAGTCAGGAAAATATGTCGAGTTTAATAACAAAATTTATACTGGGATTTAATCATCCATAAGTCTTCCATGCATTCATGAATTAAATGTTCTGTTATGTATGTAGACGATTAGTTGAAAAATAAGCATGTATGAGGATTTGACAGAGAGAAGTAAGATGTAAAGTGATTCAATAAGCACATAGGATGTGCTCACAATAACCAAACTAATCAAAATCCAGTTCTTTCATATCAACAACGGGAGATTCAAAAATATAGTAAAAATCCATGTATTAGTAAATAACTACTTGTATTTGTTGATTTTTGTTGAAATATAATTGTGTTACTTTCACACTACATACTATTAAAATTAATTGATCATTCAATTGTAGTCTATTTTAATATACTCTTAATTGTTTTATTTTAGTTTCTATTAATTAGACCATGATTAATCTATGTTTATTAAATTGTCAGAAATTGTGTCGAAACTTAAACATTACTCTTAGTTACGTATTGCCTAATAATGAGCTATTTCTAACTAAATGTAAGTAGTACGACGAAATACTTTTACAAAAAGAGGTAGTCATTTGGTCACCAACTATAAAATGTTAGAAGAGTAATCAGGAACTTTGTTCCAGCTAGATGAAAGAGGATACTTTGGAGTTTTCTTGTGTACCTACGACTGTTTCGATTAAAGAAATTGTAGGAATTAGATTTATCGACCGTTCTACCTATGTATGTGTATGGATTAGGCGGAGTAATTTCTGTCAGCTATACGAAATCACTTATTGATGGGACAATTTGATCCTAAAGATTAAAATATATGTTGTAAGGTCGTTATAATCCATGTGAATGCAAATAATATATTTCTTATATGTAACAGATAAGCTAAGCTATGTTAAAGTTCTAGGTGAGTAAAATGCTAGATCAATGATATAAGTTGTGGAATATACTCTACTGATATAATTCTAATTAATCGGGATTACAGTTTATTATTTAACAAATATGTTGGGATTATGATAAATTTACTCAATGGCAGTGTATGGTGATCACATATTATTATAGAACGACTGAAACTTGAAAAAAACTATTGGGTGCCAACTCAGTGGTATAAAGGTCAAATGTTTAATGTGAAACACAAAGGTCTTGGGTTCAACTCCATGTGGGTTAGTGAATACTCACTGTTGAGGCATCTCAGACTAGGACGAAACAGTTGTCCAGTACTTCTTGGCTTTCAATGGTAGTCAGCTAGTGATGTGGAACTCCAGTTTTAACATTTTCCACGACAACCTATGGTGAAGTAGGTGTGTTTAATAAGTTGTTCACTACAGAGTTCTCTGGAGACTTCAGATGGTTGACAATGTCAGTTCAAATGACTTGAAATTGGAAGGATCATGGTTATGTGATCACTCTTTATATCGTTCTTTAAACCTAGATGCTGCACATATTTCACATCATTTTAACGTTTTATATTTCACTTGTAACCCCCTTCGGCTTTATTACTTAAAAGTGTAATGACCATAATGTTCGATAATCTAAACAGCAACTTATAGTTTTTAAGTTCGGGAAGAATCCTTGAAGCATGGTTCCGTACCAAAATGCACTTGTTAGCAAGTTGTATAACACTGATTTGTGGGAACAATTGTTTACTATGGGATCTCAATACCAATTAACATCAAACTTTGGTCCAGAGCTTGTTATATACACCCAGTAGGTATTTGTTCTTTTAAGATCGACTGTTAGCCAATAATTTATTCTGACTTATGCTGAACCTGAGGAGGAATGAGTATACATATGATTGACACAATCGTCACAGCTTCTAAAATACTGTTCAGTCAATGGATAATATGTGAATTCTAGGGAAAGTTGTATTTCGAATAATGTTAGTCGATAAATTCTAGATTTCCTTGGCAGTATCAATTTTCTACGACCGTTTGATAGTTTTTATTTTCACTAGGCAAGGTTTTCAACATACCGTTCCTATTAATGCAAAGCTCCTTATAATCTAAATTTCAGAACGTACATTTCCTCTAAAAGACAGAAATCCAGATTTCCTTTCAAACCAGTCCAGGTGGTCTTCAGTTTAAGAAATTTCAAATAGTAAGCCAGAAATCTAGTTCCATTTTACTTGATTCACTACAGTTTTTCAAAGGATACTAACTATTTTTGAGCTTACGGACTTAAGTAGTAGTTCGTAGGAAAAGTTTTTTCACATTGTGATGTCAGTTGCAAAGTCAGGAACAGTGTAAACCAATGAATACTAAATACTTGGTTTCCACTA